AAATATCTGAGAAATTACGTAGATTTGGAAGTCCTCTAAATTCACAGTACGCAAATTCGCACAACCTTAAGCGCATCATTCCACAAATTTGACCACAAGCTACAAAAACACGCAAAAACCGAAAAACCACGACGATTATGATTTACCGGAGTATCCTCCTTTTCCGTAATTTCGAGGATTAGCTCGTAATGATCGCCAGACGCGTGCTGTTTTAAAGTTTTGGTTAAGTTCAAACTCGCATTCAAAATCAGTTAGTTAAAAATCGAATTCTAAAAAATACCGGCTGCGCCGAGGTGCCCTGCTTCGAGACGTGCCGCCGGTGGATCTCGTGCCATCGCTGCGAGAATTCGGGCAACTGCAGCCCGGAGCCGCCGCGCCACGGCTTCTGCGTGCCGATGAAGTGCACGATCTTCACCTGGTCCTTCAGCCTGGAAAAAAATAAATACCGATAACTTCCTAGAAGCGAAAACCACCAAGAACGCTATAAAAATACATTATATATTATCAACGCGCCTCCCCCGCTAACGGTCCAGTACCGACAATGCAGAGCCTTGTTTTGCTGGCTCCTTTAGTTAACAAAATGAGGAAAAAAGTGGATAAATAAAGGGTAAACTTACTTGTTATACGCCGCGGCGTACGTGTAGAAGATGCCGCCGGTGACGTTGTAGATGAAGGGGAGACGGTGTGCCGAGGAGGACTCACGCCATCCGGAGAAGTACGAGTTGAGCAGACCCTGGTCGGCGCCGTCGAACGAGCCCTGCGTGGTGGCGTGGTGCATCAAGGAGCCTAAAAAGCGGGTTCTAACAAGCCATGTAAATTTAGAATGGGCTATGCATTAATAGAAAGTATAAAAATTAAAAATTCACCAGGGTTGAAAAGCCGCTTCGCGACTTTTCAACCCTGGCCCCGTCTGATCCCATGAAATTCTTCACTTTACATAATTTTCCCGAATTCAGATGGCGCAAAAAATGAAAACGCGGCCTCTCCCCCATTATATAGGCGATCATCACTTCCGGTGTATGTTATTTTTTTCCTAACAAAGAGGGTGTCCGAAATTTTTATAAAAACTTATATTTAGCGTTGAAAATAGCTGATTTTGTAAAATCTTATAGGTGTGCAGTCGTCTCCAGACCATTGCGCACCTAATGACGTATCATACATACCCCTAACTACCCCCGTTATTGAGATACTACTGGAACACGCTGACGGAAGTTGCATGCAAAGTGGCACACACACACACACACACAAAAACCCCTTTTTTTTGATATATAGTAGGATAAAGCATAAAAATTCGCTTGAAAACGACTTACGGTATGTCTCCTCATTCGGCCGGAACACGAACACGCCCGAGTTGAAGAAGTCGGGCCAGCCAATATCCGGGGCGGCGCTGAACTCGTCCCGCTCGAACAGCTCGTCGACGTTGCGCAGCACCTAAAAATAGAATAAGTTTTCCTTACGAACACCTTTAAAGGCCAGGATTGTCCGAAAAACTAACCAGGGTATCGGCATCGAGGAAGACGGCCTTGGTGTACTGGGTGAGGCGCCAGCAGTGGAGCTTGGTGAAGGTGAGGGCCAGGTCGGGGCGGCCGATCAGCGCCAAATTCGCGTCGTCACCGCTCTGGAGAACATCAACAACCGAGATGTCGTCAAAGACTTCGGAGAGTTGCTGTTGTGCCGAGGAGGTCACCTGGAAAGGATGAGGTAGAGAGAGAGCGAGAGAAAGAGAGAGGGAGAGAGAGATCGACACCCACCTGCTCCGAGATCAAAACGTGCAACCGCTTCGACGTGTTGACTTCCCTCAAAGAGTAGCCGAGCACAAGCGCTCCCTGCACGTACTCGTCATTTGTCGCTAGCGTAACAAAGGCCTCTGTCATGGCTGAAAAACGTGAAATTACCATAATAAACGGATCGAGTAAAAAATTCAAACGGAAGAAAGAACATCAAAATTCGAAATTTTCTGAAAAATAGCGCTTTCGTAGGCGGGGGTGAGATCCCGCGCCGAGATAAGGATTGATAAGGGCACGGGCCGGGGCGCATTAATGGTAATAGGGCAGATGTTTTGCATCTGTCGTCAGTTGGCTTTTGTTTGTCGATTTTTCTGGATTTTGGAACTAGCTTCGCTTTGCAATAATTATCCAACGATAACTTAGAAAAAACTTGGTTAAATCTAGTAAAAATAATTCTCTTTTAAGCTGCGGTCAGGAACGCATTATTAATTAATTTTTTCGAGCGGCGGTAATATGCAAATTACGTCAGAGCACTTTATAGAATTCCTGGGAAATATCGGAATTTCAAGCCGAAAAATTGTGTAATTACAAAATACTATAAAAAACTGTTTTAGATTATTTTTTATCTATTTGGTTGTAGGAAATTTTTAAAGGCCATGGTGAAAAATTTTCACCCTGGCCTTTAAAAATGAATCATATTATCTGTTTAACTATAAAACATTGGTTTTGATTGTAAACCGTGAATTAAATCTAAGCCATAGTCGTCGTTCATATGCAAACTAGGCAAATTAAAACACAAAATTTATTTAAGCTCCGAAAACCCGGAAAATGAATCCTCGCCTTCTCGTAATAGCAAATACCATTTTCGGCCCAAAATCGTGTAGAAATCAATCCCCGGGCCTACGAAATGTTTCATCATTTGCGATCAACAACATGGGCCCCCAGCGGGGAGGAGCCGAAACCCCCCGAAAAAGCCGAAAAAACGGTTGAGGGGCCGTGTCTGACTGTTTACTGGGCAGCTGTCTGGACTGAACTGGGATGGGGTTGAGGCAGTGAACATAGCCAAGGGCCCGCACCGACACTTTACAAAGCGTGATCCGCCGGCCATCCCCCAAAATTGCTTGATGCCCCGGTGGGGCAGCCTTCGGTTATTCGTGGAAGGTTCGGGTGCCCGCCCGGCTCGTGCAAAAAACTGGACAGTGGATGATGAAACGGAGGTGTTTCTGTGGGAAAACCGGCGCCTGGGCCAATTTAACGGACGAGGTAAAATCCATTAGTAGTCATTTGCAATCCAAGTCGATAACGAAAAAAAACCGTAGGATTTTGCAAAAGGAGTAGGCTATCAGCCACAAATATTAGGAATCCTTAATTTTTGTCTCGTGTGAAAATGGAAAGGAACCGAAAAAACTATAAAAAGGGAAATGTTGCATGCCTGGGCATTGTGACTACCCGGCGTGCCCTCCGCAAGTTTACTATCCCCCTTATCAACAAATAAAAAGAAGAAAAAGAAGAGGAGGAGACACGTGGGAATGGGGAATGACTTGACGGGATAGAAATAGCTACAAAACGAGAGAGAGAGAGAGAGAGAGAGAGAGAGAGAGAAAGAGAGAGAGAAAGAGAGAGAGAGATAGACAAAGTAATAAAAAGTATAACTATCGCCAGACAGACAAAGCGACATGAAAACGACTCTAAATATGCCTAGGTTGTGTGGCGGAATGGGTACCCCGTCGCATTGATCCAAAAGCGCATTTCTTCTTCTTCCCGCGCCTGCGGCCACACAACATAGAGGGCCCCCGGAAAATGTCGGCCCGCCCGGCTCGAGGGCGGTTGTTTACTACGTGCTTCTTCAAAAAAAAAAACGATGGGAAAGGGCTGATTTCAGATGTGTACTTTGATGCCAGCTGGTATGATAATTAATTCAACTCTTCCTCAACGAATACTGAAAGCCGAGAGCTAATTTTAAAAGCAAAATTGTAATTTGCTAGCTTTTTGCGTAGCAGTTCCTTGTGACAACAACGAAAAATTGGATGAATTAAATAGCATAATTAGTTTTACAAACAAAAACCCACAAAAACGCTTTTTTGGCAAACAGCCGAAATTGGGACGGTTTGACATTAGCCAGCTATGTGATGTTTACGCAAGTACGTGTCTCATGGCAGGAAAGAAATTTTCGTTGCACTATGAAATCGACACGTCCGCGTCCTACGTCAACAGCAATGATGGGAAAAACAAGTCTATGGAAGTTGGATCTGCAATTAGACATAATATCCAGTATTTCATTAACATTTCGACAACACAATAAATAAAAAGTTTAAGGCATATTATGTAGGGTCCTCGTATAATTCGAAGAACCGCCGGAAGCGCCCTCATGTACTACGAATTTGTTTTTGTGTTTTCGTAACACAGCTGCGATTTTGAAAACGATACTCTGTTTTGGCATGCACCGAAAAGCTTCAAGAAAATCTGAACAAAACTGGGGATGGCAAGAAAACCTAGCTGAAGCAGGTTCTGTGACGATAATGCAGCGCTTGGCTACAACATAGATGAAAGAACGCAAAATTAATGATATGATGAGCGGTTAGTTGACATGTTTCAACGAATCGCAAGAATGACCCAGTAAACCTCCAGGTCGCCTCTGTTTGCCATCAACTCGATGCCACGGCCGCGCATGACCGCCCACAAAAACATATTGTCTGTTAGTTTAGAGCTTGAGAATATTGATAAATTGATCGTTAGGGGCTTTGATGCCTTAAAAATAATTTTTATTGTAAGTTTCTGTCACCAGCTGTCTCTCACTCACTCTCTCTCGCTCTCTCTCTCTCTCCCTCTCTCTCTCTCTCTCTCTCTCTCTCTCCTTTTCTCTCTAACGCTCTTTCTCAGTTGATCTTTTTCTCTCTCTCGCACTCTCTCTTCCTTGTGCTGTGTATTTTATACAGATTCTTATTCCGTGCGATCACTTTCGCTTTCTGCAACAGGATTTATTCTTGCTGAATTTTCCATCGGGGTGTAGAATTAAGAGGGAGTTTTCTGCAGTGGGAGGAAAAGTGTATAGGGCCAGAAAAACAAGTCGGGGGAAACCGTTGCGAAAAAAAGGATATTTCAGCCGGTATAGTCAGGAGGAGGGAGGGGTGTACAGGTGCATGTAGTTTGTAGCGGTATTCGGACTGGTATACGGGTAGGTGGATTCGTTGAAATGGCCATTAGGGTGCGAGGGGTATTGGGGCTGTATTCTAAATATTGTCCCAAAGAATCGTGCGACCAGTGTTTCGGGGGGTTTGTCTACAAAGGGTTCTAGAGGTTTGAAAAATTGGGGGTTTAAGCCTAAGCCCAAGCCGAAGCCGAAGCACAGCCAAGCCTAAGCCTAAGCCCAAGCCTAAGCCCAAGCCTAAGCCCAAGCCCAAGCCTAAGCCCAAGCCTAAGCCCAAGCCTAAGCCCAAGCCCAAGCCTAAACCTAAGCCCAAGCCTAAGCCTAAGCCAAGCCTAAGCCTAAGCCAAGCCCCCAAAATTTTACGAATCATACATTCACCAAGGTCAAACAGAAATTCGCAAAATCTACAGACTAGCCAGAAACCAAGAAACACAAATTGCAAACCATTTTTTCACATGCTTTCTTTTTGCTAAATAACGACATCGTAGAGAGACCGAATACTTTCGTTTTGATGCGAGGAACCGGAATGGGTGCTGAATTCAAGGGGCGGGTGCAAAAATAGGTTTTAAAACGTCGAAAATCGGATTCGAAAATTGAACAAAGATATAGAGAGAGATGAGATCGAGGAGACGGGTGCAAATTCAATGATTTGCGATCGTCGAAATGCAAGTAGCGGTCGCGGTGCTGTTGCTCATTCCCTCTTGATCTCGGCGCCGCAGATGGTGAGCGTGAGGAAGAGGTTCGAGCGCAGTTGCTGGGCCTGGAAAAGGTATATTGAATAAACCGTTGTCACGATCTCAGTCTCGCTATCGCACGCTCTTGCTTTATTTCTCTCTCTCTCGCTCTCTCTCTCTCCTCTCTCTCTCTCTCTCTCTCTCTCTCTCTCTCCCTCCACCAACCTGAGGATTCTCAGCCCTCTGCTGCTGCAGCAACATCATCGGCGTCTCGCTGCACAAGTCACCCTGGTTGACCAGCTCGGTCATCTGCGGCTCGTTCAGAAACTCCTTGAACAGCTCGATCAGCTCGGCGTTCATCCTCTCAACGGCGTAGTGGATGACGGTCTTTCCATTCGTGGCATCAACCAGCATCGGGTCGGCTCCGGCCCTCATCAACTCCCGGATGGTGTCCTTGTTATCGATGATCTGGCGCTGCTCCTCGTCCATGGCTCCGTGGTTCCGGATGGCGCACAGCAGGGCCGAGCTGCCCATGCCGTTCAGCTTGTTAACGTCGGTCTCCGGGTTAGAGCAGAGGATCTGGATAGAGGTGATCAAGCTTGAGAAAGGAAGTGATATCGATACCTTGACGATGTCGCTCATGCCTCGGGAGGCGGCGTAGTGGATGGCGCATTCGCGTTCTGGGCGCAGCGTCTGGGAGTTGGGGTGGGCGCCGGCCTCAAGGAGGTAGGCGACGACCTAAATTTGGGGGATTAGAGGCAGTATGACAATAAGAATAGACTCATTGCCTTCAACATTCCTTTAAATTGATCATCTACCAGTTTTTAGCGAAAAATGGAAAGCCACAAACCTCGGCCCGTCGCTTCTCGACCGCCAGGAAAAGCGGGGTCTCGTGGAAGCGGTTCGGGAGGTCGAACGGCTTGGCGTCGCGCGAGTAGTTGGTCTTGAGCTGCTGCTCGACGAGGGCGTAGATCTTGGCCAGATCGGTGTGGATGGTGACGATGTGGAGGAGGGTGTCGCGGTCGTTGTCCTGGTGCGACAGGGCCCCGGGGCGTACTGTAATGACATATTTAGCTCGTTATCTCTCTATCTCTCTCTCTCTCTCTCTCTCTCTCCACATACCTGCATACACTTGCAGGTCCAAGCCCAGGCGGAGTCCATATCCGAATCCGAGATCAGCGCGCGCAGCTTTCCTTGGCGGCTCGTTGCCCCTCCTTACGTGGAGATCCACGATGGTTGTAAGGAGGAGTCAACGGAGCTGACACTCCACCACGAGGAGCACCAGGACTATTGTGTGGTGCGCTTCCGGCCGAGAGTGGCGAATCGTAGGCCGAGTCGGTGCTATCTGGGCGGTGCTTAAGCTCGTCTTCGTCGTGCTCCTTCTTCTCGGCGGCGGTGTATCTGGAAATTTAAATTTTTAGCCACTAAAAAACTGTGCACACCTGCGCGAGTACTTGAGGATGAAATCGGAGAGTGCGTCGGGGAGCTCATTGGAGTCGAGAAGACGGTTCAGATCTGCCGTGGTCATTGAATGGTCGGTGAATGGGGACTGACGAGGTGGAGATGACGAGTAGCCCATGTCGGATTGTACGGTGTCTGGGGTAGTGGAGCTGCTAAAAAGACAGTTTTTAAGTGTGAGCTTTTGCGCCGTAAGTACCTGATGTATCCAAGAGATTCGGGAGAGTCCTGCCAGCTCGATCCGCATTCATAACCGCCGCCGTAAGCCGAGTAGGCCGAGTAGTCTTCGACCTGGAAAAGTAGGTTGCGTGCGTGGCGGAGCACAACGTACTGTAGATTCCATCTTTATCAACAAAACGAGTCTTTAAAGAAGCGTAGCGTCTGTTAAGTTGATACTCGCTTCGTTATGCTGCGCGAAGTTGTGGAAAGCAGCTGAGTGTAGCGTACTCTCCGCGTTAGATTGGCCATTTTTACAGTTTACGGTGTTCAGGGAGCGTAACGTACAGGTTTCAAAACGCGCTTGCATATGTGGAAATGTCTATTTGCGAAAAAGTAACAAATTTTCCAAAAAACGTACCACAGTCTGGGCAGCCGTTCCGTACGGGATACGGTACATGTACGGGTGGTGTCCATAGGCAGCGTGACCGCTGCGCACAGGTCCGCGAGCAAGAAGTTCGCCCTCCTCGCCCTCCTCGGTCTTTTCCTAGAAAAATTAGGTTTAAGGAGACGACTTCATCAATCTCACCTTCTTCTCCTCATCCTCCTCCTTATCATCAGTCTTCTTCTCATCGTCATCCTCCTTCTTCTTGTCCCCAACCGGCTCCTCGTTCTTTTCCTCCTCCTTCTTGACGTCCTTCTTGGCCTCCTTCTTCTCCTCCTTGTCCTCGCCCTTGTTCAGCAGGTCGGCAAAGAGTGCAGCGCCGCCACGCCCGAATTTCGAGGTGGTGTTGGTCTTCTTGGCGAGAGCCGAGGAGCGGATGCTCTGAAAGGGGAATATTGAATTTTTCGTAAACATTGATATGACTCGAATTTTCAATAGGATGGAAAGCAAAAAAATGTCGAAACCAACTTTTCATGACATTTCCAAGGCTTTCCTGGGCATTTTTTAATTGCATTAGGTTTTGAAATGCACCGATTAACCTATAAAACCGAAAATTCGTCCTGGCTATTCCAAGCGACCATTATTTAGTGCAGTACTATATTTTTGTGGATCGCAGAATAGCGGCATTTGGGTAGCATCTAGTATGTGCTCGTGGAAACAAAAAGCCATCTACGCCGGGTTGCCAAATCTACCCCTAACTTTTTGCACTTTCCGGACGACGCCTCTGAACAAAGTACATTCTCCGGCCCTCAAACACCCCCAGAAAACGACTTTTTTTAACGAGAGAGAGAGCTACGAAACAATGGACTAAGTGATATTTTAATCGGAACGGAGGCTTTCGGCTTTTTGAATCGTGGAAAGATGCTAAATTATGCCAAAATTGCTAAACACATTTTTGAGATTATCGTCATGATTTAATGAAGTTTTAAGAGGCATGGTCTAAAAAATTGCTTTCAATTCAGTTCCTTTTCATTTCGATTTTTTCAGGCTTTTCGAAACCCTTACATTTCAAAAACCCCCACCCTCCGGCCGGCCGGTCAGCGACTTTTCAGCCCGGCGGCCCCCCGGGCTCTATTTGCGTAGTTCGAGTCTCTTTTCTCTCTCTCTCTCCCTCTTTTTCTCTCTCTCTCCGCCCGGCCAGCAAATTTTTCGATTGCAAAACACTCTGGGCCCTCAGGGGCGCCCGGGGGGCCCCCCGATCACATGCCTTCACAAATAGAAGGGTGGAGGTGAGGGAACGGGTAGAAAGATAGGGAGAGAGATAGAGAGAGAGAGAGAGAGAGAGAGAGAGAGTGAGAGATAGGGAGAGAAGGTAAAAGCTAAAGAAGAAAAATAACGCAACTGGCCGCCCCCCGGTTTTTCGAGTAGCCGCTAAAATTTATGAGGCTGGGTGGTGTTGCTTGGGAAGAAGCCCTGGGTTCCGATAGAGTACAGATTACGGACAAATCTTAGTATAAAAACAATGTATTTTTAAGCCATTTAGCAATGAAAAAAGCTGAAATTAGAGTTTTAAAAGCTCAGACACCCCGCTTTCGTTTTTGTCCTCCAGCGTTGCGAGAAACCCTAGTTTCCGAAAGTATGGCATTGATATGACCTCTTCCTACCTCGGATTACGGTAGCAGTAGGTTTTAATTTCGAGGGGTCACCACCACCCACTACACAGGATTATCTATATCAAGTTCAGTGGAGTGGCGTGGAAACACTGGGGATTAGATGGCTAGTATAGTTTTCAGGAGGGGGCGTCGGATTTACGTGGGTTTGTAACGGATTTTTTGGGTAAAGGGGCACGATCAAAAAATAGTTAAAATTTTATGCCGGCAGTAAAAAAAAGCTTCAAAATAGGCCTGAACCTTCCTATAAAATTGCAAGGTTTTAGAAGGTTTTATAACGAGTTCTTAAGTTGAGGTTTTGATCTTGTCTGGATTTTAGCTCCTCACAATCAGAATCACTAATCTACACCAAAAGCTTCTTTTCCACTTTTTAGTTTCCCAAAGGATCTCTACTGGGCTACCTAATATACAAAAATCATTATCCTCCACCCCCGAAAACTCGCCGTTGGTCCCGTTTTCCAGAATCGCCCCGCGCTTTCTGTAGAGGTACCGTGTGACACACAGCCCTGGGTGGCTCTCTCTCTCTCTCTCTCTCTCTCTCTCTCTCTGTCCCTATATTTGTCCGCAACCGCGTCCGCGACGCACCGCGCGTCCGCAGCGCGCCGCTTTCGCACGAAAAGAGGCACCCGCCGGCCGGTGGGATGGATTGGTGGGGGTGTTGTGTGTCGAGCGCGCGCGCCCGTTTCGAGCGGACTGTACGCTCCGCTCCCCCAGGTCCAGCCCGCTAAAAATAGCTCCCCTTCCCCTGAGCAAATCTCACACAAACATCGCCTGGGGCTTGGAGGCTCCGTTTTGGGAGTGGGAGGCAAATATGGGTGTTTTGGGGGGAATCGGACTGGACGCTGCGGGAACTTGTATTTTAAAGCGAGGTATTGAGATGGGCGACCAGATCCTGAGGTTTAAAGGAGCTCTAAAAGCTTAAAAAAAGTTCTATGAAGGTTACGGTATCTTTAAAAAGCCATGAAGGCAGCGTTTGTGTTTTGTGACTTTTCAAGGAGCTTGGAAGACGAAATCAAGATCAGCTTTTGAATTTTGTATGAGCATGAGCAGAATATTTCATATTTTAAAAGCACCCTAAAGCAATATCCACAAACCTGGAGCGTGACGTAGTCGGCCGGGGAAATGTTGTTGATCTCCTTGCGTTGCTGCTTCTTCTTCTCCTGGTCTTTGGCATCTGAAAGGGGCAGCATAGCATTTTTCCAAGATGTAGTCTGTATTCTTCCGGTCGTCAACCTACCATTGACAGAAAGCTGCTCGAGCTGAGCGGTCAGGTCGTCATCGTTGGCGGCCCTGGGGAGGGCGCATGGTACGGCACGGGCCACTAGGCACCCACCGTCCGGGTCTGCCATCACCTGGAAAATGGAGTAGATCATGGTTTGCAAGAAATTTCAAAACATTAAGAAAAACAGCAAAGCAAGAATATAAGCAAGAGAGACAGAGAGAGAGATAACGAGGGATCGCGAGGTGGAAAACGATCTATATAGCAGCAATATGACATCTAGAAGGAAACAAAAATTGAAAACACAAAGCTCAAAAGTTCAAAACCCGGCCCAAAAGTTTCACCATAGTTAAAAATATAAAGTTTCATCTGAGTCTCACTACTCTACCTCCTCTACCAATTTGCTCCCGACACGCCAATTTACCCCCCCGGAATAGTGATTACCTCTTGACTCCTAACCCCAAATCCAATCTCGCGATAAGCCTCCGCCGACCATAGAAATTGACTCTCTGCCCCCAAATTGCCGCACGCAGATCGGGTGGCATTTCTGGATGGCAACACGGAAAAACAGTGGCGTGTTTTGCTCATACTTTGCAGGGGAGGGGTCAACAGCAGATTATTAAAAGGTATGGAAAATATTTATGAGAGAGAGAGGCGGGGGTGAGAGAGGCAGAGCGAGAGAGAAAATTGTTTTAATGAAGTTTCAGGACCCGGAAGGGGGAGCAATTTGTAAACACACACGATGGAAACCGTAATGAGAGTCCCAGCGGCCTCTTGGAAAGCGGCCAGATTCGTGGAACGTTGTTTCGGAAAATTAGAGTAAGAGATGTTCAAAGTCCGCGAGAGAGTACGTGGGATTTTGTAGGTTTACTGTAGCTGTGGTGAAAAATAAAAAACGAATCGTATTTTGTAGAATGGAATCGAGCAAGTCAGCGAAAACCTAGCTTCCTGTTTACGAAAATTCGGGCCACAAATACAGAGATCGGGTAGACGGTTATTTTTTGACCTTTCGCGTTTTTGGGAGTGGGACAGCAAGATAACAAAAGTATTCGATATTAAATTTATTTTGAAGATTCCAGATAGCGACTTATTAAGTTAGAACTTCAAAACAATCACAGGCTATGTACATCCGACGAAAAAAACGGATAAATCAGCATAAAACAAAAATCGAAAAATTCGTAGTCGTCAAAAAGTTGGTAACAGAAACTTCCTAGATACCCCAGATGCACCCTGTAGATGCTTTAAGTGCGAAAAAGCTTATATCTCTTTAAGGCTTCAATCAGGATCTTCCTCAATACAACAGGTACAGTTTTTTGAAGGACGTCAAGTGCCAAAACGTGCCAATACGGACTCGAAAGTGGCTGAAGCTACGTGGAACTCCTATGGACAGCGCTCAAGACCTCAAAATCCCTTCAAAATGACACGCTTTGGCACAGCAGGTACACTTTCTAAGGAACTACAGGCACCAAAACTTGCCGTATCGTGTTCTTTATCCCGTGTGACTACGCAGAGCTTTTATGCACAAGAGGGAGAGATGAACGTCCCAGTAAGATACGATCTGACCCACAAGGTACATTTTCTAAGGAATTTAAGGTACAGCAATGTGCGAAATCGTGTTCCAAATCTCTGCGGAGCTACGCGGAACTACTCTGAACATCTCGTCCCCGAATCACACCTTTAATCCCACACGGAATGTGAATCAGTGTTCGGCGAATTCGGCGAACGGTTTGCAAAAAATAGATCTTAGAAAGGTTTCAAGGTACGTGCCAGTCCTAACTAAGAAGCCATCTGACCCCAGCCCCCGGCTTCCCCAGCTAAATATGAACCCTAAACCTGCGTGGGCTATTTCGCGAATACGCCAAATAACGAACCGGAAAATGCCCTTTCAAAAGCGGAACCAAACGGTCATCCGCGAGCTCGACAATTCGCCGGGGGTAAAAATTAAAAATATTGGGGCGGCAAGTGCGTCGTCGCCGCGGCGGGGGCAGTTTTGGGCGAGTGAACATCGTCACAAGGGATCCCTGGGAGGGCGAGAGAGTGGGGAGGGTAGAGAGAGACTAGAGGGGCTGAGAAAAGGAGAGGTTGGGGGAAAATTGAGACTCTCGACTGGCAGTGGCCCAGCGAGAAAACAGCTGAGGACGGGGATGGGGTGTAGAGAAATTCGAGGGATTGGACGAGAGATTATGGGGGCGAGACTTATCAAAGAGGCGGAGGGGGGATTGAAATGGTTCGTTTGGATGAATCGCAACGGAGAAATAGTAGTATGATATTAAATACGTTCTGGATCAAGAAAGATGACAATTCGTGTGGATCTACGGTGTAAGAAAATGTGTTTCCTGATTCCTTGAAACCGTGAAAAGTCCGAAAGAACGATAGAAGGTAAGCGAAAAAGAACGAGAGAGGGAAATAGCAAGAGTGAAAACATCACGAGCGACAGAATCCAAGAGAGTGCGAGAGAGGAAGATAGAGGGCGAGATAGAGAGAGAGTGTGTGTGAGAGAGAGAAAACTTGATGACGCTACTAATCGAGGAATTCAAATTCCACAGGCTTGCCGACTTGATTTAAAGGTGGCCGCACACACCCGGCCAAATTCAACGGAAATGCCAAATAGAATAAATAAATTCGAACCAAGAAATTATACAGTGCATTATAAAACTTTTAAAAACCAGACTTCGAGGCAAACGAATTATATGCATACAAAAACAAACGCGGAAAATAAATCGAAACCAGGAACGAAAATATGAGCCTTAACTTGTTCACCGCTCGCGTTAAAGCGTTGCCAGAAAGTACACTTTTTGCTAACTACTGACGATCGAAAACAGCTGCTTTAGAATTTCTGAAAATGCCAAGAAAGCGTCAGGACGCAACAAGGAACTACCACAAAAACAAACTCCCCGTTCACACGGGATCAGTGAACTATCGACCCCACAAGCCACCATCAAAGGGGCCCAATCCAGGCATGGGGTGTTTGGGGGTGCGCGTGTTTTGAGGGGCGTCAAAACCAGAGTCGAATTCCGAAAGCAAAAGAAGGAGAAAAGGAAATATTGGGCTCCAACAAGAAAAAGAGTGGCGAAAAGGACAACCGCCCCGGCCGATCTGGGGAGCCGATGGGAGGGAGAGAGGGATTGAAATGGGTGGTGAGGCGAGAGAAACGGGGCAAGGTGAGAGAGAGCCGTTTAGAAAACGGGGTGGAGGAAAGGCGGGGGGTGTCGTGGAATCGGGAGAAGGTGGTGAACCTGGAGGCGACAGAGAAAATGGCTTGAAAAAAGGCAGTGAAAAATTTGAGAGACGCAGAGAGAAAGGTCGAGAAAATGAGAGAGACAGAGAGAGATAGAGAGCACGGGGCTAAGGGGGCGATATTTAGAAAACGGCTTGGTAAAGGGGAGAGAGAGAGAGTGAGAGAGAGAGAAAGTAAGAAAGAGAGAGGGAGAGAGAGAGAGAGAGAGAGAGAGAGAGAGAGAGAGAGAGAGAGAGAGTGAGGCTCTTAGCAGGAGAGGGAGTAGATGAACAAACTAGGCGACAGAGCGAGCGAGACCTAGAGAATCCAAAGAAAAACAGGGCGAGATAGCGCCGTTTAGAATCGGATACCTAAAGAATCCGCAAGGCAAGAATTCAAGAGAACGGAAAGAAAAAGAGATACCTTCCATCCCGATGAGAGGAGCGAGACGCAGACAACATCCCCCTGAAAAAGAACCGAGCCCCGTGCAGAGAAAACAAGAATTAGAGCGCCTGGGGAAAAAGAGCGGGGGACGGCGCGGGCGCCCGCCCGGCCGTCGCCGCCGTGGCTAGTTCCTGGTCGATTTGTCCGGGGCGAGAGTGCACGGGAACGGGGGAGAGCCCAGAAATTCAGAGGGCTTCTCTCCTGTTGATGGCTAAAAAATGCCCCAGGCCCTCTCGCCGCTCCCGGGGCGGCGCTCCACAAGTATTTTCTACGGGGGGGGCTTCTTTGCCTGGGTGAGGTGATGGGGGTTGCCCTGGGGCTACTAACACCGAGAGCTGTGTGGAATGGAAATTGGGAAGTGGCGGACTAATGAAGGCAGAGAGCTAGAGAGTGAGAGAGAGAGAGAGAGAGAGAGAGAGGGCGAGGAGAGAAGAACTTGCTCGTGCTCATCAGGCCGAAGTCTTTTGACTATTTACGATGGCCGACGAAACGAGCAGCTAGCGTAGCGAGAAGAAGAGAGTGAGTTAGAGCGAGAAAAAGAGTGAAAGATAGGACGAAAATAAACCTGTAACCGCAATAACGCCTCCACCGTGTCCTGTGACTACCTTTAACCACAAAAAAACACAGCAAACCCACCGAATTTCTCACGGATTTTTGCGGAAGAGCCAGTGTCGGGTGATAAGCCAGGCCTTTTCAGAGACTGCCAGAAACAGTTCCGAGTTGTGGCACGGAAAATCCGAAAAGAGACGATGTGGAACTCTCACGAAGAAATGGAAACTGGTTTAGCAAAAAAACTAGTTTATCAACTAGGTAACCAGCTCAGCCTAAACAAAGCCTGAAGCTAAGCCTAAGCCTAAGCCTAACCTGAGCCTAAGCCTAAGCCTAAACCCAAGCTTAAGCCTAACAAAAAAGCCTAAAGCCTGGGCCGAGCGTAAGCATAACCCAAGACCAAGTCTAGGTCCATGTTCTCGAAGCCGATCGAAAAATCGATATCCCAAAGAATTAGATCCCCGTGGGATCCGAAAATCAGGACAGCAAAAATCTCACTTCCCGCCCCGTTCCCACAGCACGTATTCACGGGGGTCCGGGTGGCGGTGTGGTGTGCAAGATTCAGTACGGATGGCTCCACGAATAGCCAATCCGATTCTCCGGCCCAGCAGCAGCCAGCCGTTCAGGAAGTAGAACGCACGGCTGGGATGAGGCTCAAGCTCGGAGATCGGGTGACAAAGCTAGGTGGCCGGGAGATCGGCTAGATCGGATCAGCCAAGGACACGCGCAAACCGCTGGGATGGGAAGTTTGGATTTTGGTGGACATTGGAAAGGACCGGAATGTGGGAAAGCACAGGCCTAAGCCAAGCCTAGGCTAAGCCTAAGCCCGAGCTAAGCATAAGCCTAAGCTAAGCCCAAGCCTAAGTATAACAAAAGTCGCCAATTTTATAATTAGATTCCCACTGAGACCTGTAGAAAAA